CACAAATTATGTATTTTTGTAGTTGCATAAAAGATAGTTTTTTAAAATATCATATATTATGTGTTTTGTGTAAAATTGTTGAAATTGTCCAGCTTATTCCAAAGTAAAAACGTACTGGGTGTACTATTGTTCTGTAAGTTAATAATACTATACTAACTACTAATACTAACTTACAAACAATAATACACCCAGTCGTAAACAGAACACATTGAGCTATAGAAAGAGACTCAGCAATAATAGGCTAGCTTTGACTGTGTTGTTTTTTGTCACCCAAAATACTAGTCTGATATTATAAGAGCTGTGAAATCATATGATTCTTTATAAAAGAAATAAAATATGACTTTCACGAAGTATACTTTCAATAAATCCACATTATAAACTTTGAAGTAGACATGACTAAACCCAACCTAAAAATATTGCATAAAATAACTGACAAGTAAGCAACAAATCCATCCTGAGAGCCGTGGTAGCTCAGTGGTTAACGCTCGCTGTAAATATAACAGAACGCGAGTAACCAGCGTTCGATCCCCGCCGGCACCAATGAAATTGTTAATTGCAATTTTAAGTGCTGATTTACCACGTGCTCGGCGGTGAAGAAAAACATCGTGAGGAAACCTGCATGTCTGAGGAATAAGAAAAAAAATATTTCGAAGACATGTGAAGTTCGTCAACACGCATTTGGGCAGCGCGGCGGACACTTCCTTGCCCTAAACCCTCTCAGAAGAGGGGAGGCCTGAGCCCAGCAGTGGGACGTATATAGGCTGTAACTTTACTTTAAGCAACAAAAATCCCCACTGGTAGGTATGCAGGCAGAGATCACTAGAAATTCTAATCTAGCTGATTATGTCTACTAGTTTCTTCTTATAGTTTTAATGTATTTTGCACTTTAAATAAACCTGTTAAAGTCCATTAAGCCTCGCCTAAGGGGTTTTGGCGGAACTTCACCGTCGGTGGATTGTTCTTATTATTTTATTGTTTCAATAACGGTTGGAAGTTATATTTGATACGTAAAAGTGTCGCGATTTTGAGTTCTAATTGCCTGCGCACGTGAGCTATTAGTGATAAGGACAAGACAAGTGTATCAATGTTGATATAAACCTCAAGTTATTTTGTCTTCTTAAGCACCTTAAGAACTTGAGATACTGACGACATCGACTGTCTGCTAGCTTAACCTGTCATTTAAATCTCCAGAAAACTCCACAATGTGATGTATCAATATGTTATAGGGAATTAAAAAAAATTATATAATGCTTTAAATTCCCATTATGCCTATGGATAATTCCCCGTTACTTGACACTGATGATGATGATGAGTACACCCGTATAAGTCCATTACCAAAGCAAATATGCCTCTACTGTTATGAGAAGAATTTTCTATAATTGCCATGCTTATCAGTTGGATCAGCGATTTCAAAAAAATCAAAATTTATGTTGTGAAATAAAGATTTTGAAATTTGAAATCTTAGTCCTCATGGGTGACATCGCATCTGCATTTTGATTTGTAGTTGAGGATAGATATAGATGTCTATGAGCCACACCAACTACTAAGATGGTAGATTACCATCAGGTCACCCTTATTCTATAAAAAAAACATCAGGTGTACTGCATGTTCGTTTATCACCCTAATGTTTGCAATGGGAGTAAATAGTGGGCACAAACAGGATACAGGCATTATCAGTTGTCTCAACTGCCTGCCTGCTAATGTATAATAATAATAATAATTATCTTATAAAGAAACCTCATCAAACTTGTAGCCAATCTGAATATTTTTCATCTACTGTATACAGGTTAGTCAATACCCCATACCCATACATCTAGTCTTGAAAGGTTTGTCAAATTTCCAATAACCTTTCAAGACACATATAGGAAGAAATGAGGTAATTTCTTCCACCACACAGCAAAGCTTGATTTCGGTAAAAATTGGTGCCATGTTAATAAATTAACACATTAATATTTTGATACTAACTAAAAGATACATCATATACCATACCATCATAGAAGTAGAGGTGGATCTGGTGTGGGTAATTCATAAAAATTACCTCTTTAATGGTAACAAGTGAGCACACAGACCTCATCATGGTATGTGGATGCTGCACCCCATAGACATCTATTATTTATTAAGAATTAGAATGCAGATTCATTTTCACCCCTGAGGACTAAGATGGAATGTCTGGTTACCACTAAAAAGGGTCTCCTGTTCTCTATGTCAAAGGAAGAGTCTTTGTCACCAAAGAAGTTTCTTAGCCGTGATACCTCAGTTTTCTCCAAATTTGACGTTTGCTATTAAACTACATGGTGTAAAATTTAGTTTGAATTTTTTCCACAGGATTTTTTTTTATTGAAAAATACTCCTTTAAACCTGGGACTAATAATAAACTCCTTTTTTTAATAAGGTACTTACAGACCATCAATATGAGATATTAAAAGAAAACTCACTTATTGGTATTACCAGTAAATTGTTATGAAATCTTTAAGATGGTAGAATATTCAATGTCAGCTAACATAACAGTAATGCAATTTTGGCAGTAACTACATAAACATCATATACATGTATTAGATAAAATGGAAATCTCACCACTAGATCTACCAACTGGGTTGAGGCCGAGTCTCCCACGTACTTCACTGAGATCACTTGCAGTACTAAGCAGTAACTTTGTACGCTCCATGTAATCCATGTGAGTCTTGAATAACTCAGTGTATCGCTCATGCAACTTTGCATATTCTTTCTTGAGTTCATTTTCTCTCTCTTCTAACCTACTAGCATGGTCAAGAGAATTCTTGTGCTTAAGTTCTAACATTCTTACTATGCTGTCTAGAGCTTCTAAACGACCAGTCAAGTCTTTTCTATCACCTTCATAGTGATCTTCCGCTTCCAGCAACTGTTAGAATTATGTCACATAAAAATTAAAATTGTAATAGAAAAAAAAGATTAACAGTCTTACTTATAATTGTTGATGATCACTTTCTTAAATTAAGTATCAATTATCTAAATAGTAACTATCTCTTATATCTGTTATTTTGTGGAAGGAGATAATCCAAATTCATTTTTTTAAACTGACTTTAATTTTTATGAGTGAGGCTGTAAATATTTCTTATAGACTATTAATGTTCTTATTCATCTCATTCATGAAATTCTCTAAAATGGGCTTCCAACATTCAATAAATACACTCCTTCGCAAGGTTAACAATTATGTGAAGTTTTTCCACTTGATATATACAAAAACATAGATATGTAATGATGCATTGAAACTTTGTAAGGAATGAAGATAACAAGTACCATAAGACCTTTTGTCAGAAAAGTATTGAATAAATGCATGGGAACACAGTCTTTTTCACTCATTAGTTTTCCTTTTTTTTTAAGATGAAAATAAAAATCAATAAAAACGGCATTAAAGAACACATAGCTGATGTGAAGAATCGACACTCCAGGAAGTCTGCAGTCAAAACAAAAGAAACAATCAAGGTCTACACACGCAATAAGTATTGAAGGCTTACCTTTTGTTCCGCATGCTTCCTTGCTGCTTTTTCGCGCTCGTACTGCGTGATCAGTTGTTCGTTGTCCTCACGCAGCAGTTCTAGTTCTACTTCTTGCTCCTGGTTAGTTTGATACGCAGAATCTAAGGACTCCAATACATTTACCAATAACGGCATTAACGTTTTCACAACGTCTTCATCATATCGCTCAATCATACGTTCGAACTCTTGATAAATACTGCCTGCCAAAGATTGCACCTTTTCTGACATTACAACATGAGAATCCTCATGAGTCCCGTATATGGTCTCCGTCGTGACAAAGCCACTACTAGAACTATTGTCGAAATTCATGATGAAAAATTATATTTCGCCAATGTAATTACCACCACCACTAGCCTAGTGAATTTTACGCGAAAACATCTACTGTTTTGTGTACAATATTACACGATGACGCGATCAATGATAATTCTAACTAAACTATTTGATAACGACAATTTTAAAGAAATCACAAATTCGCACAGATTTATGAAAATGAATTAAAAATACGCAGAGGAAGAAAGAAAAGAAAATAAGGCAATACAATCACACCATGTCTTTTAGTAAAGTACGTGGTTTGACTTTGATTGACGTGACGTAATGTGACGAAATATTTATATATAGTGGTCATCGATCCGCGCCATTATTGTAAATTAGAGGACTTCCGTTTTACTGGCGGGAGGAAGAAGCGCGTAATTTTAAATTAAAATTTCAAAATTCTAATTGTTTTATAATAGTTATGTAATAGTTTCAAATTCTGAAGGAAAAATAACAGTTTTTATACTACGAAATAAATAGAAATACCGTCTGATAGTGACGGCATCAATAAAGCCATGAATCAAGACGCAGGCGGGAAAAGAAAACCGCCAAAACGTAGTCAAGACATGCAGCGGGAAAATGATGATTTTTATAAACCATTTTACAAATTAAATTATAAAAGAATTTTTCCAGAGTTAATGGGAATGGCTGAATACACGATTTTTATTGAGAGTCGTAAAGAAGGAGTTAAATTACGAAATGCGAATCCCTTAATATTGGCGGGAATTTTCAAAAACGAAATCAAATGAGTCACTAATATAAGAAGAATAAAAATGCTTCTAAAGTAGGTGTGGTATTTGCGCGGGCGATTGGAACTACTTCCGGACATACAGACACCATCACCGGAAGCTAAAATTTCGATATTTTTACGACGATATTTTTAATAATTTTTATTAATATTTATCTCTATTTTCTAGATGTTAGCGCTGTTAGTCCATGCGACTCTTACAGCCTCACCTGACTCAGGGCTCGAGGCCTGCAAGGCCGCGAGAAATATTCATATAGTGGTCATCGTTCCGCGCCATTATTGTAAATTATAGTGGACTTCCTTTTTACTGGCGGGAGGAAGAAAACGTAATTTTAAATTAAAATTTCAAAAGTCTAATTGTTTTATAATAGTTTAGTTTCAAATTCTGAAGGAAAAATAACAGTTTTTATACGAAATAAATAGAAATGCCGTCTGATATTAACGGCATCAATAAAGTCATGAATCAAGACGCGGGCGGGAAAAGAAAACCGCCAAAACGTAGTCAAGATATGCAGCGGGAAAATGATGATTTTTATAAACCATTTTGCAAATTAAATTATAGAAGAATTTTTCCAGAGTTAATGGGAATGGCTGAATACACGATTTTTATTGAGAGTCGTAAAGAAGGAGTTAAATTACGAAATGCGAATCCCTTAATATTGGCGGGAATTTTCAAAAACGAAATCAAATGAGTCACTAATATAAGAAGAATAAATGCTTCTAAAGTAGGTGTGGTATTTGCGCGGGCGATTGGAACTACTTCCGGACATACAGACACCATCACCGGAAGCTAAAATTTCGATATTTTTACGACTATTTTTAATAATTTTTATTAATATTTATCTCTATTTTCTAGATGTTAGCACTGTTAGTCCATGCGACTCTTACAGCCTCACCTGACTCAGGGCTCGAGGCCTGCAAGGCCGCGAGAAATATTCATATAGTGGTCATCGTTCCGCGCCATTATTGTAAATTATAGAGGACTTCCTTTTTACTGGCGGGAGGAAGAAAGCGTAATTTTAAATTAAAATTTCAAAAGTCTAATTGTTTTATAATAGTTGTGTAATAGTTTCAAATTCTGAAGGAAAAATAACAGTTTTTATACGAAATAAATAGAAATGCCGTCTGATATTGACGGCATCAATAAAGCCATGAATCAAGACGCGGGCGGGAAAAGAAAACCGCCAAAACGTAGTGAAGATATGCAGCGGGAAAATGATGATTTTTATAAACCATTTTACAAATTAAATTATAAGAGAGTTTTTCCAGAGTTAATGGGAATTGCTGAATACACGGTTTTTATTGAGAGTCGTAAAGTAGGAGTTAAATTAGGAAATGCGAATCCCTTAATATTGGCGGGAATTTTCAAAAACGAAATCAAAGGAGTCACTAATATAGGAAGAATGGGTGCGTTTGGCAGAAAAAAGCGCTAGCAAGCGCTTGTAAGCAAAATGGCGATCGTAAGCGGTAAGCGCTGTCAAATCGTAAGTAGCTATTTTCCTCCAGGACACGATGTTAGTTTTAACCGGGGAACCTAACCTAATTTAAATATATGTTTGTGAAGTATTCATATTAAAAACTTACCAATCATGAATTTTTAATAACATGTATATGTTTATTCACGTTATTATATTACTTAAAACTAATATTGCACAAAATAACTTAAAAACTCTACTTCAAAACAAACAAATTAAATAAGCAAAATGGCGGATTGTGTCAGCGCTACTGAAGTAGTATCGTGTCCTGGCCGAAAACTATTTCAGCGCTTGTAAGCGCTTGCTAGCGCTTTTTTCTGCCAAACGCACCCAATAAATGCTTCTAAAGTAGGTGGTGGTATTTGCGCGGGCGATTGGAACTACTTCCGGACATACAGACACCGTCACCGGAAGCTAAAATTTCGATATTTTTACGACGATATTTTTAATAATTTTTTATTAATATTTATCTCTATTTTCTAGACGTTAGCGCTGTTAGTCCATGCGACTCTTACAGCCTCACCTGACTCAGGGCTCGAGGCCTGCAAGGCCGCGAGAAATATTCATATAGTGGTCATCGTTCCGCGCCATTATTGTAAATTATAGAGGACTTCCTTTTTACTGGCGGGAGGAAGAAAGCGTAATTTTAAATTAAAATTTCAAAAGTCTAATTGTTTTATAATAGTTGTGTAATAGTTTCAAATTCTGAAGGAAAAATAACAGTTTTTATACGAAATAAATAGAAATGCCGTCTGATAGTGACGGCATCAATAAAGCCATGAATCAAGACGCGGGCGGGAAAAGAAAACCGCCAAAACGTAGTCAAGACATGCAGCGGGAAAATGATGATTTTTATAAACCATTTTACAAATTAAATTATAAGAGAGTTTTTTCAGAGTTAATGGAAATTGCTGAATACACGGTTTTTATTGAGAGTCGTAAAGTAGGAGTTAAATTAGGAAATGCGAATCCCTTAATATTGGCGGGAATTTACAAAAACGAAATCAAAGGAGTCACTAATATAAGAAGAATAAATGCTTCTAAAGTAGGGGTGGTATTTGCGCGGGCAACTAACGCCAATGACTTTTTAAAGAATGAAAGCTTCCTAGAGAAGTATGATTACAAGGCATTTATACCAGCAAGAGCGGAACAACAGGAAAAACAATCGGAGTACTCAGGTATGTTCCCATCAGCAAAAGTAATGAAGAGCTTTTTAAATAACTATCATCGAAATAATATGAGGTCGTCGCAATGCGTCGCTTTACAAAAAAAGTTAATGGACAGATCAAACCTTTCAGTTTTGTAAGTGTAACATTTTTGTCAACTAATTTACATGACTTTGTACATCTGGATTTATTTCAATATATGGTGCATCAATATATTGCCCCGCTTTTACAATGTTTTAAATGCTTTAAATTCAATCACGGAGCGAAAAATTGTAAATCAGTGCAAAGGTGTTCGCGGTAATTAAATGCATAATTTGTAGAGGCCCTCATGTCGCAATTTCTAGAAATTGTCCAATAAAAAAAAATTGATGAAAAATATAATAGGTCTAGTTATGGTAATGTCTTACAAACAAAACAAACTCAAAATTTATACAACAATTATAATGCAAATTTTCCTTTAATGCCTACAAAAAAAAACAATGGATTCAAAAACAGTAGATCAATCACAAGTTAAATCTAATGACACTCCTAAAGTACACAAATCAAAGACGAAATCTACCCAAACTAATACTAAAAATAATAATATGTTATTATGTATACTATATTACTACACTATATATACTTATACCATATTACACTACGTATACTATATTACTATACTATAATATTTATATATATATATATTGATATGCTCTTATTGACCAAATTATAACAAATAACAATATTTTGAAAGCAATTGTTGGAGCATTGATGACCATGGGTAACTCAGGCTGTAAACTGACTACATCAAGTATAAAAGAAATGCTTATTACTAATCTTAAAAACAATGAATAAACAATTTATTCGAACTTCACAATTTAATATATAATCTGTTAATAATAAAAAGCCTTTGCTCATTAATTATCTAGTTGAGAATTATATAGATATTTGCCTGTTAAATGAAACTTGGCTGTGAGAGAATGGAACTATCAACATTCCAAACTATAATTTCATTAATCAGAATGGAAAAAATGGACGTGGAGGAGTAGCAATATTAATTAAAAATAGTTTCAAATATTTTGTTGTCCCCACAATGTTCTATGATTATATGCAGTCTGTAGCTATAACCCTTACTACAAGTCTAGGTAATATATCCATTTTATGTGTATATGCCTCACCTAGTGGAGGGCGCTTTAAGATTAGAAGATTAAAACAAATTATTAACAGTCTACCTGCGCCACTGTAAATCTCAGGTGACTTAAATGCTCATCATGTTGCTTTTGGATGTCTCACAACAAAAACTAGAGGCACTGATATCTATAACATGTTGGACGAATGTGATTTTTGCATATTAAATAATGGATCTTCAACTACAGTAGGAAGCATTAATTTTAATCAATCTTCTTGATCTGATCTTGATTGATCTTTCATGTGCTAGTCCTTCTTTAGTTCCTTTATGTGATTGGCATGTACATGATGTCCTCACCACCTCTGACTGTGGTTGCTATTAGACGTGTGTTAGTTACACTAATTAAATATTTTTTTTTTAATTAACAGTCAACTTTACTTAACGGCGAAGTACTAGAAGATCATATAATCAATGTGGTGTCTGTCCGTGACTGTGTGTGTCATAGTACATTTGTTTTTTGCGCATCAGTTGACCGCGTGTCGTCTTTGGTTCTCTGAACAACCTACTTATAGTGTATTCTACCACAACGAAAACTACGGACTTAAAATAAAAGAACATTATGAAGTAATTTCTAACATTGAACTAGAAAATCCACTGAATTATGTAGGGAGGAGACAGAAGAGACCCAGAAATGAAGATCAAAGGAAAGGTATTGATGATTCCCTTAAAGATGAACTATTATCCATGCTCACCAATTGGAAGTTCTTATTTTGAGTAAATTGTTTTCAGATATTTCCGAACTTAAGCAACAAAACGCCAACATACAATCAACTAATATTGAAATGGAAAAGGCGTTAACGTTCATATCCACTCAGTATGAAGATATGAACACTAAAATTACCAATTTAGAACGTGAACGAAAAGAAAATTATAATTATATATTGAGTCTGGAAAATAGATTAGGAGACATGCAAAAAAGGCTTATGTCCACAGTCATCGAGTTCCGTAATTTACCTATTCCAGCACAAAACATAAAGCAAGAGACACAAAAAGACTTATGTGATCTGGTTCAAAAGATTTACGATGTTTTAAATGTTAATTTTCACCCATCCGTGATAAAAGATATTTATAGAATTAAAAACAAAGCCGGTGTGTCTACTGTTATCACCGAATTAACTTCGGTACTGTCAAAAAATAAGATATTAAGTGGAGCGAAAGAATTTAATAAAATTAACATTAATAGTAAACTCTCCGCAAAATCTATTGGTCTTTCTAGTTCCACAATGCCGATATATATATATATATATATATATATATATATATATATATATATATATATATATATATATAATATTCGGTATTATATATATCTGAAAGTCTAACAAAGAAGGACCGAAAACTTTATATTTTAGCTCGTGATACAGCTAAGACAATGAATTACCGATATTGCTGGACTAACAAGGGCCGAATTTATTTGCGGAAAACTGAAGGTGGTGCTTGGATAAAAATAAAAAATGAAAATGATATTGCAAATTTAAAAATACAATATGACTAGGTACATTTATAATATTATGCATTACCTATTTAATTATGATTTCTTGTAAATTGCTTGCATGTCTAACTAAGTGTAACTCTGGCTTTATATTTACAAAATTACTCTGTATGTATTCTAAACTACCCACTATTTACTTTTATAATATACAAGTGTATAAACTACTAACACATCAACCCACGAAATATTTACAAACAATTAATATATACGTGCGCGACTATTTTTATAACCTCACACAAAAGAACATGTACATTCAACTCTTTAATCAAAGTAACGCTCTCACAGATTACATAATATAGCTCTTTGTATTCATGGATATATTTAATATGCTTAATTATTCTTATTTTCGAATACAAATTAAAATCTTGTTTATGCTACCTATTTAAAAACATAACTAAAACGCGCTGCGTTAAAAGACATATTAAATAATCTTGATAATACTTGCTTTAATGAAGCAATATTATGTAATCCCGAAAAATGTGCTGATTTGCTTACATCTTATCTTAGTTGTCTCACTGTTTTGTCTCAAAATATTCGTAGCATCATTGCTAATTGTTCAGGACTTTTAACGTTATTAAAAATAAATAATACTTGCTGCGACATTATCGTTCTCTGTGAATGCTGGCTATCTTGTAATCCTATAATTCCGATTCTCAATGGATATTATAAAACTTCAAAAAATTACAATAAAAATGACGGTGTTATTGTATACATCAAGTTTTATTTAGCTAATATTAAAGTAAAAGAACCTATAACAATTGAATGCAACTGTCTGGTGATTACTAAAGGTGTAGATTGTCGCTATATATAGACCACACGCTTTTGTTGATCCTTCAAAATTCTTTCAGTCTTTGGATCATGTCCTCACGGATGTTAAATCATACCGAACCATTATTCTTGTGGGAGACATTAATATAGATATTGCCAACGGGTTTCATTTCACAAATACTTTAGATTATCATGATCTACTTGTTCATCATGGACTTCTTCCTGGTCACAACTTCCCAACTCATGGTTCTACCAGTCTTGATCACGTTAATTTAAAAACTGCTTTTTCCGCTAAGGTTCTAGTTCTGGAAACTACTGTAACAGACCACTTTGCCGTTATGTTTGCCCTCTCAAAAATTAAATTTAAATTATGTAATCGTAAATTTATAAAAAAAATAAATGAAGATAAGCTTATTCATCACTGACCTCTATATATACAAGTACGTTGGACTGGCTGGTACACGTGACATGCTGAAGCAATTTGATTTCCGCCATTTTGGCGCTGACAGCAGAAGTGCACGTCCACGGAACTAATAATAGGGATAAGACAGTGTACCAAATTATATCGATAAAAATTCTATACCCTACCTATACCTAAGTAAACAGAATTGACTCTATGGATAGATGGACTCTACCTACTACCTACTCTACATATTAATATAATGCCATTATCATTCATCATCATTAAAACCCTTCACAAGTACACTGCTGAACATAGGCCTCCCCCAAGGAATGCCATAAAGCATGGTCCTGAGCCACTTCAGCTTACTAATCCATTGGGTGGTGTCCGTCACTCTAGTTCTGCTGCAGATATCTTCATTCCTAAGTTTAAACCCCTGAGCATAGCCCCCTTCATAGCTCGCTGAGCGACTTCGAGCTTCCTCATACGTCATCGAGGTCATCACTGGCAACACGCACTGGTTGTATAATCTAGTTTTGAGGTATTCCTGACGAGAAGATTTGTTGTAATCTCCCGAACGCTGCCCAGCCGAGTTGAATCCGTCGATTGACCTGTCGGTCGAATTTGAACTTGCCTAGTCGGACTATTTGTCCCAAGTAAAAATACTCGTCAACAACTTCAGCTAAATGCTCCCAAAAACCACCGGCATATGTGTGACATGGACATTACACGTGACTTTTGTTTTGTCCATGTTCATCTTAAGATCTATCCGTTGGGAGACACGATTGAGGTCATTGAACATAGTGCGTAGGTCCTCCAGCGATTCTGCATTAAGGGCTATATTGTCGGCAAAACGAAGGTGAGTGACGTACACGCCATTGACGTTGATATCGTTTCCTTTTTAGTCCAGTATCTTGAAAACGTCTTCCAATGCAACGGTAAAGTATTTCGGGGATATTACGACACCCTGTCTTACACATCTCTACAGTTGGACTAGTTTTTTATTCTGGTTCTGTACTCGGATAGCCATTGTAGCCCTTAGACCATTCAACTAAAAATTATTAAGATTAAACTAACTACACAAAATAAAAATAAAAACATAATTTCTAAAATAATTTATTGTCAACCGTTCATTTAGTTCTGGAATTATAAAAAACTAATCAGCTGCTATAATAACGCCTATTATAATCAACTACAGGTTTGTCTATAGACAGTAAAATATTTTCTACTATATAAAAATGTATGTTTGTTAGTACTTTCTACGATGCCATACCGTTCATCAGATTGCGGTCAAATTTAGTCAACTTATTGGTTGCACTTGTGCGAAGATTATACGCATGGTACAATTAACTGACACTAGGTGGCGTGCGTATTATACCGACTATTTATTTGAAAGTTATAGAAAGTTATATATCATTCTAATTCAATGATTTTATTTTCATTCCTAATTATACAATATAACTGTTCCACATTTTAACGATATTTCCACAATTATTTCTTTTGCGGCAGCCATGGCAGCCGGGTACGAGCTAGCAAGATAATATAAAAAATACAAACTTTGAGTTAAATAGTTATCAGTTATTAACAACGTCATTTTCGAAATTAAAATTACAATATAAAAAAAATAACTGAAATTATCATAAAGTCCTACTTTCTGTGGTATCGTCCCAAGAATGCTGGCTACGTGTCCTCACTCCTCACGGAATGGCTATACTTAGCCTTCAAGCGAGGAAACAATAAACTAAACAACTTCTTATTACCAGCAGCGATGATCAGTTGCAGATACAGTTTTTTAGGAACTACACCGCACGTGCACCCTACGGACCAATAGTCTCTACAGCAAATTGCACTAATATGTACTTATCTTCCAGATACTCTGGGCTATTTACTTGGTTCAGTTGCCTCTAATGCCACCCCTGCTTTAGACGAGGTACCCCTGAGATGGGATGCTGTCAAAGTGTTCGCAAGTAATATCCCACACTAAAGCTTTATCTCTCTCTCTCTCTCTCTCTCTCAAGCAACCAAACCCATACTGTTGGGTCTCCTGGTATCGTCTCTAAATATTCTACAAAGATCTTAAACCGAGGAAACATTTATAGAGATACGAGCTGCACTACGAACTTCCCGAGCCCGATATGTGAATGGAGCCAGGCAAAAACGAGCACTTGGAAGCATCAAGTGGTGCAGCCTCACCAAAGTCGCGAAAGATAGTCAAGTGGTGCATCGCCAATCGCCATACCAACACTCCTCTTCCCTTACGACTCCACCTCGACTACAGCGGTCCAGGGAGAGGAATCTCCTCTAGCCGCAGCCCACTAACACACATCCAACGTGGCTCGACATGATCAGGCGATTTTTCGACACTTGGCTATGGCCCTTGAGTTTGGTGGAAAATGAGAAAATAAGAAATAAAAAAACATTCGAAATAATAATCTATTTGTTCCAAACATGATCATTTTGTTTCGGACGCCAATACACAATATTTATGCTTTTAAGCCATAATTTTAGTCTAGGTTCAGTTGGAAACCTGTTAATTAATAAACATTTGATAATCATCCATTGTTGGCGACTTTTTTTGTTAACACATATGGGTAGGAAAGAACATCGATAAGTATTATAGACAAGGAACTCGACAACCCTATTTAATTTTATTGTTTATCAAAACTCAGTAATATACACCCAAACATGTTGGTATATATGATATTAAGATTAGTAACAAATTTTTAAGTACTTATATTATCAAATAGTTTTAATTTGTTTAATATTTGCTGCAAATTTCGCACTTACTTGTGAAATGTTATACCACTTTCCTTTAGGTAATGAGTTTTACAGCTTACGCACACTCTCATTATTAAATAAAAATAATTCTTATTATGTAACTAATATTATACACAATCAAACAACAAATTACTTTCGTTTTTTAGTTTAAAAGTTCGAAATAAAGACTTATGAAATAAGACAATATAAATGGGACAACAGACTTTGGCATATTACGTCAATTTTATTTTTCAAGGCATTCTTTAGCGGCGCTTCAAATTGGCACAGTCATTTTGTATGGTATAGCCAGTCCAGCGTACTTGTATATATAGAGGTCAGTGTTATTCATGAATTACGCTGTATTAACTTTAACTCTGTATACACAACAAATGACCCTAACTTATCTGTTAAATACTGATCGAACCTATTATTCCAGCTATATTATATAACTTTATTTCTGTCCTATGTACGTAGACATATTAAGCCTTGGATCACTCTGGCTTTGTTGAAATGCATGCGAAACAGAGATAGATTATATAAAAAATCAAAAACAGACCCATCAAACCAGATTCTTAGAATTACTTATAAAAGATATCGCAACTTCTGTACCAACCTCCTGCGAAATGTAAAAAGTAATTATGAGAAGCTGGGGTTTCAAAGAGCCGGCAAAAACTCCAAGCAACTGTGGAAAGTCATTCAAACTCTTACAAATTTATCTAAACAGCAATCAACGGCGTCTGATCTTCTAGACATCAACGAAATTAATACTCAAAAATCTGTTGAAGATATTAACACATATTTTTCAAGAAAGAGGCTCGGTAATACTACTGGCATCCGTTACTTATTCCAAATCATTTGTTTTGCTTGAAACTGACGAGAGTGAAGTCGAACGCTTGATTATGTCTTTGGATAACAACCGAACAGCTGGTTGGGATGGTATTTCTTTAGAATTCTTAAAGAAACACAAAAATGTTATTAATTCAAATTACAAATATTACATATATTTGTAGTCTCCAGACAGGTATTTTCCCTGTTAAAAAGGCAATAGTTCACCCTATTTTTAAATCCGGCGATCGAAATCGTATCAAAACTACAGACCTATATCAGTTTGGCCTACGATGTCGAAGATCCTCGAGAAAATAATAAACACAAGGCTTGTTAATTATTTAGAGACTAATAAACTGCACAGCCTTATTGATTTTGTAGTCAGGAATCAAGATATACGTCAAAAATGTGTTGCCTTGTTTCTTGACCTTACAAAGGCGTTTAATACTGTTTCGATACCTATCCTAATTTCAAAACTTCAATCTTTAGGAGTAAGAGGAATTCAGTTATCTTTATTCCAAAGTTATTTAAGTAATAAAACTCAATGTGTTACAATTGGTCCTTATAATAGTTCTGACCTGCAAATTACATACGATGTACCGCAGGGAAGTATTCTCGGCCCAAGTTTGTTTTTAGTATATATAAATGACTTGATGTGTAACATCAATCTTTTAAACGGGATGATCTTTTCCTACGCAGATGATACTGCACTTGTGTTTCACTCGAATACTTGGACTCCTTTAATATAAGCATAATATTTTTCACTATGAGTAATACTATACACTTTATTATAAACTGTCAGCTCATGCGGTACCTTGAGGATCACCACCTGATTAGTAACTGCCAATACGGTTCTCGTCGGGGTCGATCAGCTGGTGATTTTCTGGTCTACCTGAGTAATCGGTGGGTGGAGGCAGTAGAGTCCAAGGGGAGGCATTGGCCGTTAGTTTAGACATTGCGAAGGCTTTTAATCGGGTTTGGCACAAAGCGCTTCTTTCGAAGCTCCCTTCGTATGGGCTTCCCAAGAAATCGTGCACCAGCTTTCTTGCAGATCGGAGCATCAAGGATGTAGATGGTGCATGCTCCGATTACAAGCCTATTAATGCTGACGTTCCACAAGGCTGCGTGCTAACACCAACGCTGTTTCTGTTGCATATCAATGATATGTTGCAAACCGGTAACATTCATTGCTATGCAGATGACAGCACTGTCGATGCTTTGTACACATGCCGTGCAAATATTCGGAAAAACGTCTACGAGTACCGGGACAAACTTGTGTCTGAAGTCGAGTGTTTGCTGAACAAAATCTCGGATTTGGGCCAACTAAATCTAGTCCAGTTTAACCCTCAGAAGACACAAGTTTGCGCGTTAACCGCTAAAAAGAACCCCTTTGTTGGATCTCCTCAGTTTCAAGGCACTCCCCTTGTTGCCTCAGCCCATAGAATACTATAATACACAATAGAAAGGCTGTCAACCTTATTTTGTACCGAGGTTTGGCGTCGCCGGGAGCACACATATAAGCAATTACGTCGTATTATCAGTTAATTACTAATACAAACCCGATTCGCTGTGTTGACAGACGGATTTTAATACATATTTATTTGTAAATGGCATGCAATTTGGCATTTTCTAAATAATTTGCATGCGAAATTTGCAAATGATTGTAACGTCAAAACACATCTCGTGTTGACATTTCTATGTATGAATTGACGTCTTGTTGCATTTTAGTGGCTACACGTGCTCCGCCCACACCCCCGTTCTATTATGTATGTATTATAGTATTTTATGCCTCAGACAATATCGGAATCCTCGGCGTCGACATATCGAGTGACGTGCAGTTTCGTGGTCACTTCGAAAAGAAGACCAAATTGACTTCTAAATAGCTTCTAAACGGGACAGTATTTCATACCGGCAAACCACCTGCAACTTTACAAGGCGCAGGTTCGGCCGCACATGGAATACTGTTCCCATCTCTGGGCTGGGGCTCCCCAGTACAAGCTCCTTCCACTTGACCGCATCCAGCGCAGAGCGGCTCGAACCGTCGACGACCGAGTGCTTTCTGATCGGTTCGATTCACTGGCGGGATGTTGCATCTCTTTGCATTTTCTTTCGCATATACCATGGGAAGTGCTCCGCGGAATTGCTCGGATTAATCCCAGCCGCCAAATTTCGTGAACTCACTACGCGGCAAGCTTCCCGATACCATCCACATCATCTGGATGCTTGGCGGTACACCTCTGTACGTTTCACTAGGAGTTTTCTTCCGCGTACGACCTCTCTGTGGAATAGTTTACCACCAGCGATTTTTCCGAACCGTTACGACTTAGGGACCTTCAATAAAAATATGAAATGGAACGCTTCAGCTTTAGCTTATTCCTTTCTAAAAGGCCGGCAACGCTCCTGCCATTCCCCTGGTGTTGCAGTTGTTCATGGGCGGCGGTAGTCACTTCACCTCAGGTGAGCCGTATGCTCGTTTGCCCCTTCTTCTATAAAAAATACGATAGAAGACTTATTTGATGTAAAATAATATAATGAGATATTATTTATTACCTAATAATTAAAGGTTTTTTTTTTTGTTAACTATTCCTACTAACGTTATTTTGACTGATATAATATATGTTTTTATTCAAATTTAAATTATGTACCTTATTTATAACACGTGAATATATTATGGGCATACAATAAATATATTACGAACACAGTAGCAGTGACGGCTTTAGCAAAATTTTTAAAAGGTGCGAGATTTCATACAAGTGAAGTACGAGGACGAGTTATAGAAGTGCCCCTCTAAACACTAAACCTTAGTGATCCTATACTATCTCTATGCAGTTGCTTTTCCGTGATTGTATCAGTACTATCAAATAGTACTGATACAATCGCTCTTGTCATAGTAGTTGTTCTGCTTATTCGCGTTAAATAATGTTGTCCATTTCGCTCGCACTACTTTGTTGCCCTCGACAACGCCACTACGCTTAACTTGCTGCTTGCTTGCAGATAATATATTCGTTATGGACTCTTGGAGATGGAAATTAAGGACTGAATGTATGAAAATTATAATACTGTTTGTAGAATTAGAGTTAGAGAACTAGAGTTTGAAGAAAAATAATTATTAAGATATATATCTAAGTAATATGTATGTGTTTTGCACACAAAATAAATAAGAAGTACGTTAATTATATGATCGAAATGTCATGGTGAACGATTTGTGTGAAAATTTTTGGAAATGTATAAATCTAGTATATTTACAATACAATATAAAGAGTAAGTAGTCGAAACTTGTCTTAAATACACGAAAGTTTATTATTGTCGAAATGATTTGGATTTCTGTTTTGACGTTTCATTAAATTTACATTACATCCGTCGTGTTATTATAATTAAGTATGGAACACACCAGCTAGGATTGTATGTGGACATAAATCATAATCATAAATCATAAATTTTTATTTGCAAGAATCACGGTATAAAAAGATCTTACAATCTGTTTAGTGCAATCGTGTTTCGCTAACAATGGTAAATAGCATGCAAATACGATCAACAATATTAATTAATTACAGTCTAAAAAATCTTTTACGTCATAATAACATTCGGTTTTTAACCAATTTAAACAAATGTTTCTTAAATGATCTTTCACTTAATAATTTAAATTCGTTAGGTAGTTTATTAAATATTTTATACACATGTTTAGGCAACTTTTGTTGTATTTAACGATTCTAGGAATAACATCTAGAACTAGTTTTTCTGGGTCACGTCGGTTTCGGGGATATATATCACGCGCTTTAATAAAAAATGACTTATTTTTAAAGACAAACATACTAACTTCATAAATGTATAGTGACGGGAGGGGTAATATACCAAGTCTCTTAAATACTGGTTTACAGGAAATATCTGGCGACATCCCGCACATTGCACGAATACATTTTTTTTTTGGGCAACGAATGCCCTATTTCGGTCAGTACTATTACCCCATATTATGATTCCATAGCGAAGAATAGACTACGTATGGTGGTATTAACTTTATATGATGTTTTTCGATTTAAGGGCATATACAAATTTATAATTCTACATATTATCTATTTTTCTTTCCAGTTTATATCTTCATCTAACTCCCAGAAATTTTGTACATGTAAGTTTTTTAGTTTTGGTTATAAGTTTAATTTGATTGTAGATTTTTTTTTAGATTTATCTAAATTAATTTTCAAATTATTTACGTCAAGCCATTCTATTAATTTGTCAATTGTATTATTAATGTCATCTTCATGATTCCTAATGGTATTATTATTTTTATTACTAGTCACTAGACAGAATTGTACGCCCTGGTACTAAAAGGTTGTACATCCCTGCAGGGATTAAGATAATACATATATATAATTAGAGATACCACAGGTTGATCAGCGAGTTGTATAAATAGCAAATGTTTCAGCTCGCCGCTCACTTAGCCTTCAACCACCGCAGAGACTACTTCACCCGTGGATGCCTCGTGTAGAGGCTAAAAACGAATCGTATTATCGAGAATGGTGTGTCGTTCCTAGTTGTTAGTGTTGGGTGTGGTGCTACCTGGGAGCGGTGGCTACGGGGATGGTGCATGTAATTGGGGGTGGGGGGAGGTGCTCTTCAGACTGGGTGGGACATAACATTTTATTTTATTACGTGAATATGAGCAAATTAATTTCTATAAACTTCAACCATATAGATTAAAAAGTGCCTGAGGGTGTTTAGTCAAATTCCGGTTTGAACATCTTTAATTTTCCTGCCATTTTCGCATCATTATTTTACCCTTGACACTCGACACAGTAGCATTGCAAGTTTTAAAAAGGGAGATAATCTGCTCACACACACTTTTCTTAAGGATAGGTAGGATAAATATTTAGCCATTTTTCGGAAGGATAAAATACAATGTTATTTTATTTATTTCTAAATAATATACAGAGACTTTAAAAAAATTAAAGAATTTATATTGTATAAGATTATTTACTTCGAAAATAAGGGGAGTCTTATTTATTGTACCGTTAAGAGCTTGTGGGGCTTTATACATTGGAATTTGTACCATTTTTATTACAATCCCCGTATCTACACTTTCCCATCCTTTACATATCAACTGATGTCAACTTATCCCGCCCTTCTCAGCCTTCTCTCCGCCTGGGCCATAGGTTGGTGACGCCCTTGCCTTTATAAATATTAAAAATGTGTTAAAATAACAAAATCACAAATTACACCAGTAATTACTTTAGTCCTTAGGGATAAATAATGGGATTAGATATGCGGGCTCGTAGAGCCCGTAGTGTCGATATGTACAGTACCAATAGCGAAAACCCGCTAATAATGATGTATCGTTATAACGTTACATTATACGGTTGATTTGAGAAAATATTTGAAGATAATGTACACGCAAGTTTCTAAATAATGTGTCGTTATTTAGAGTTAAGATAATCATTAAAGTCCATTTATTTTATCTTATCAATATTTCTAATCCTATTTTAATAAAATCTCTAATTTTTTGGATAAAATTTAGTCTAGATCACTCCTGATATAACACTCTATGTTTTCGTGAAATTTTATTGCAATCGGTTCAGCCATTCCTAAGATTAGCTAGGACAAAGAGGCAAACGAAACTTTTAAAAATGGTCACTTATTTCTCAATGGCAAAAATAAATTTATATATCATTTTTATATATCACAAATTACGAAGAAAACTCAGAATGCGCCGTAATTCACAAATTAGCAAAACTGGACTGATTTTTTTGTGGTTTATGGCATTTTGTTATTATTAATTTCAATAAAAAGTTAGTCTGAAGTGATAGAACGTACGAAAAACACGTATCGCAACGTATTTTTTTGCAGTCGTTATCAGCGGGTGTGAGTGTGATAGCAAGAGGTGAATAGAGGTGTCATCATTTTCAATCCCATTCTTTAACCGCACGGGTTGCACATACTTAAACGGGTACATATACTTAAGCTGTCTTATAATTTTATATGTCTATTACTGTTAATATCTTTATAATAGGTCCTTACATATGAAATTGGCGTTTTGTATGGGAGGAATATAAGGTCAATTTTTTTTGTAAAATATATTTAATTAATCAAAGTATGCACCGTTGTTATCTATGTACTTTTGCCATCTCATAGGTAGTTCATTGATCCCTTTACTAAAAAAAAAACATGGGGGCGAGAATCAATAAACCTTTTGGAGGCGGTTTGGACTGTCCCATCGGAGTTGAATGTTTTACCTTGTAAGAAGTTGCCCAAATTCCGGAAAAAATGGTAATCTGTTAGAGCAAGGTCCGGGGAGTACGGTGGATGTCGCAGACATTCCAATTATAGCTCATCTAACTTAGTGGTTGTTGGTTGTGCAGTGTGTGGTCTTGCATTGTCGTGAAGCAACAGTGGCCTAGAGCGATTGACCAATCTCGGAGTTTTAGCAGCTAGTTCTTCCTTCATGGCTTACAGTTGCCGACAATAGATATCTGCCGTAATTGTTTGGCCAGATTTTAGAAAGCTGTAGTGAACGACACCGACGCTAGTCCACCAAACACTCAATCATCAAAATCAATTTTCGTTTAGGGCAGGATTTGGCTGGGTCTCCAGGTTTCAGCCATTGCGACGAGCACTTCCAATTATCGTACGGTATCCACTTTTCATCACAAGTAATGATTCGATTTAAAAGCCCTTTATTTTTGTCGGTTGAGCAAAGTAACACAGCATGCGACGCGTGTTTGCATGTTCAATTCACTCAATTGATAAGGTACCCATCGTTCAAGTTTTTTTTACTTTCCGGATTTGCTTCAAGTAGATTAATATAGTTTTACCATTTACCCTTACAACAGAACGCGAGTAACCCGGGTTCGATCCCCACCGGCACCAATGAAATTGTTAATTGCAATTTTAAATCATACACTATCTTTCATTGGTTCATGTTAAAACGGGATTACAGCATAGAAAACTTAAATAAATTTAAAAATGCCATCAGAAGTCTCAGTTTTAATAGTGTTTATGAATGCCTTGATCCTAATGAAGCGTATAATGAATTCAATTAATTATTAAAAATATTTTACGATCTTTGCTTTCCGATACTTAAAACCAAAATTCTTATTAATAGAAAACTTACTTAGGTTACTAATGGTATTAAATTGTGTTGTAGACGTAAACGAGAAATACTATGGCATTCTAGACTACAAGGTTACTTCCCTACTAAGGAAAATAAGAGAAAGCTTAAAGTTAAACATTTAAAAAAATCATTAATTTGACGCAGAAATCGCGTAATAATTATTATATCAACAATGCGGAGAATAAAACAAAAGCCACATTAAAAGTGATAAATAACAATAAATACAATTTACCTGAAGATAATATTACAAAAATTAATTCCGGAAAAATTTCTGAGGAATTTAATAATTATTTTATCAATGAAGTCCAACCTATAAAAAGTTATTCATCCATAAGTAGTAGACTGAACTCAATGTTTATGCCTGCATGTATTCCTCACAATTTATATAAAATAATTAATAAGTTAAAAAATACTAATAGTGCCGGTAATGATGACATAAGCACAAAAGTGGTTAAGTTAGTGGCCGTTGAAATTTCCCCTGTTCTAAGTTAGTAGTGAATCTATGTATAGAAAATGGTATTTTCCTAGTTTTAATTTAAAGGTGTTTTGGTAATATTTTTTTTATATATATATATATATATATATATATATATATATATATATACTATATATATAATTTTACATTATTTCTACATAAATATATATTTCATAATTACGGACATACCATTCTACAAAAATTATTATATATACTAAGTATTAGCAGTGGCTATTTAATGTTTAATGCAGCGGTTGGTGCAAGGGCGACTCAACAACAGCAAACCGGTTCACCGCTAGCTGCCCTTGCTTGTTCGCACCTAGTGTTGCCAATTTAGCATATTATATGCTAAATTTGACATATTTTCTTCTTGTTTAGCATATTTTTTTTGCTTTTAGCATATAGCATATTATTTCAGCATATTCTTATAAAACATGAAAAGAATGTAAATTACAATCTTTCTTGAAATAAAATTTGATATCGATACCTACCTCAATCAATTTCCCACTTCACTACTAGTGATTCACTAGCATGGCAACCCTTTTTTGAAGCGAATATAATATTCTCTGTGCTACGGGATTCCCCTTAGACATAGAGAATGGACTGAGCCCTTATTCAGGTATAAAGTAAATATGGACGAAGTACAAGAGAGACAAAGCGAATGTGCCGCCAGTTATTGTCTCTTTCTACGCCTTACCTGCGCCTTGCAGAAAATACACATGTATTGGCCGCGTATTCACTTTGTCTCTTTCTAGAGAGTGGTCAGTTTTGTGAGGGTGATGTCTATGGGATAGAATTCCCTTACTATTATCCATTCCCCAGCGCCTACGTCGCTTTCTGTCAAAAACATTGTTTATTGTTGTGGATGTGGACTCACTCATATCGTCGTCTCGTCTTATCCGTGTTTTCGTGTTCCTTTTTTATAATTTGATATTTTTATTATGGTGCCTAAGTATAGTCAACATTACCGGGCAGACTGGGAGAAAATGGCAGACTTTAAAGAGTGGTTGCAGCCCGTTGAAAACGATACTTCGAAAGCGTACTGTAAGTATTGTAAATGCGAAATGATTGCAAAATTGTCTGTTTTGAGGCTACATATTTCATCAGCAAAGCACAGAAAAGCAATAGAGCCAATGAAGAGTCAAAAAAAAATTAACTTCCCTAAAGTAAAAAAAGATCTGAATACCCAGAAAGCAGAATCTTCGCTGGCTTTGTTTGTTTGCGAGCACTGTGCAATTATGGCTGTAGATCATTTATCGGAACTATGCAAATACCGATTTGTCGACAGCAAATACAGCGACATCAAGTTACATCGAACCAAATGCACGAATATTATTAAAAATGTTTTGGCACCACACTTCATTCAAGAAATTGTGACAGATTTAGGAGATCAGGAGTACAGTCTCTTAATCGATGAATCGACAGATATATTGGTACTTAAAATGCTTGGTGTTTCGATAAGATATTTCAGCCGATCATTAAAAAAGATAATTTCCACATTCTTGGGATTAGTTGAGATTGAAGACGGAACTGCAGTCAGCATAGTGAACGGCATTAAAGGATTGTTGGCAGAAATAAAAATAAATTTAAAGAAATTGATCGGTATCGGCACGGATAACGCTTCGGTCATGACAGGAACTAACAGTGGAGTGCACGCATTGTTGAAAAATGCAACTGGTAATGACAATTTAGTGTTAGTCCGCTGCGTGTGTCATTCGTTACAGTTGGCTATGTCTCATGCTTCAGCAGAAACCCTACCAAGAAATGTTGAATTTCTTATAAGAGAAACCTATAACTGGTTTAGCCATTCATCAAACCGAAGACTCTTTTACAAAAACATGTTTCAAACGATCAACGGTGGCTCCGTTCCATTGACAATTCTACAGATGTGCAATACCCGATGGATATCAATTGAACCAGCGGTCTGCCGTATTCTTGATCAATGGATAGAATTAAAAACCCTGTTTGAAATTGCCAGGCGAGATGAACACTGCTATACGGCAGAAATACTATATAACATGTATAATGATCCACAGAATCATTTGTACTTATTATACATAAGACCTATCTTACAGGAAGTTCAAGTGGTAAACAAGTTGTTTGAAAGTAACGATGTTGACCCAACAAGATTGTACAATGATTTGATTGGCTTAGTGGAATCGATAGGTCGGCGTATTCTGAACCCAACGGCAAGGGTAGATATTTTAACAGAAGACATAGAAAGCTATTTAGATCCGAAACCATACATGGGATATGCTTTTGAGACCAAATTACTTGAATACAATCTTCAGCCTAATGCAGCAAACTATTTACGCCAACGTTGTAATAATTTCACACTGAAACTTGTGACGACGAACTACGTTCGAGATTACCGGTTAATTTTAAAATACTTCAGAAGATATCCATGTTTTCAGTTCAAGAGACTTTAAAAGTAGTTAAGCCATCCATTGTCGAAATAGCCCAAGAGTTCCGAGTTAATGCACCTATGATTGAAAAACTGGTATCTCAATGGAGAAATATAGTTCACATTAAATGGGAATCCTTGACTTCCACAGTAAAGTTCTGGAATGAAGTCATGCAATATAAAGATGCAGCTGATAATAACCCCTTTGCAGAGTTATGTGAGTTTGCAATGTCTCTTATATCATTGCCACATTCAAATGCGGACGTTGAACGTGTATTCAGCCAAATGAGTCTGGTAAAAACAAAACTCCGAAACCGTTTGGCGGTGAGAACCCTGAATGCCATTTTGTACGTTAGGTTCGGCCTAAAAAGAGCAGGAAAGTGCTGTTACTCTTACACTGTTCCAGACAATGTACTACGCAGTATCGGAACCAAAGAGTATTACGACTCCGGCTCTCAGCCTTCCACATCAGCTGATGTTGATGAAGATGAAGACCTTAATATTCTATTCCCTTGATTTAATTTCTCAATAAATACTGATACTTCTTAATTATGTTGGCATTTTTTTGGCATTTTTCAGAGAAGGTAAGCATATTTTTGGCATATTTTTTACACCAGTCTAGCATATTTTGAAGTAGTTGAGTTGGCAACGCTGTTCGCACCGCGCCACCAGTTCCGTTTGCGCACCGCTCACGAGTGGTAGTGGATAGAGTCCGCGCTCCCTCCCCGTGCGGTAGTGCAACCTCTCGCCCGCACGCCCCGCTCTTCCCGGCTCACAGCGGCCGAGCTGTCGCCGTAGGTGAGTCACTTGTTTTTCGCACCGTTCTTGCCCCCTCGCTTCGGCGGGGAGGTCTGAGCGCGCTGTGCCTTTATTGTTCTATTGTTTACAATTCTGTTACTGTTTTGTACTTGTTATTTTTCTATTACTGTTATTGTTTATTGTTATAATTTGTTAGCTGCATATTGTTAGTGTTTTGGAAAAATGTTCCTTGTCCTTTTGAGGACAAGGCGTCGTTCTTCTTGGAGCAAGTGTTTCTCTGAATAAACGTCAGCCCCCCCCCCCTATGTCCAAACCAACATGTCTACCATAGACATGAAACATGGTCTTGCAAGCGCCATTTCGCCCACGATCGCTCAGTTCTATCAATCCCAAGGCATAGCCTATGATGTCGTCGAGAACACCATCAGCCAAGTCTGTAATATCTTCGCTCCCCCTGCCCCTAAGGCTTGCGTCCCCCAGCCCGCCGTCGCGGCATTCCTCGCGACCCAAGCGGCTGTCCCGCAGACCGACTCGCCCGCGTGCCCCGACTCCGATATGGAGCACTCGGACACCACGTCCGTTACCTCATCCTCCCGGAAGAGGATCGCCCACAGCTCTACTGGCTCCTCGGAGTCATCAGACTCCGAAGGAACGGTCACTGACTCGGCCAAATTCACCCTAGTTAAATTCAAGCGCGGCCCGAATCGCGCCGGGACTACTTGCTCACCCCCCGCCCCAATAACAATAAACTCTTGGTTCCCAAAGGCAACAAACATCCCGCGGCCCTCCGCCGCACCACAGGCAGACCCTATAGGTGACATAAGCCTGTGTCTAACACTATGAGTAAGGTCAATATAGGGGAAATCTCTATCCTTGCGCGTAAACTGCGCGCTGCTCAGTCCCCTCAGGACCGTCTCCTTGCTCTTGCTGAGCACATCGATCTACTAAGGTCGTTGTAAAAACACTATGCAGGAGCCCTCTGCTCCCGCAATATCGCACGGTCGTATCAAACCAAAGGGTTTGTCGCTTGTTTCGTTCAATATCCGCGGTTTGCGAAATAACCTCCCAGAGCTTAGGATCTTTCTTCGAGATCGCGAAACCGACCTCCTCCTCCTTCAGGGGACCCACCTCAGCCCTAAGGTATCTAAAAGCCTGTCTATCAAAAGTTATTCACTTCTTCGTAATGACAGACCCGACCGCAAAGGCGGCGGTACTGCCATTTATTACAAAAAGTCCCTTCATTGCTCCCACATCCCCACTCCGACGCTTACCAGTATGGAAGCCACTATCACTAGATTAACCATGACTGGACACCAGTCTATCATTGTAGCCTCTTGCTATATCCCTAGCGGAACCCTACCCGTTAAGAGTAATTTCGAGGCCATCATTGCACTAGGCGACTCAGTCATTATGTTTGGAGATTTTAACTCCAAGCATACTAAATGGACCTGCCGCACTACTACTAGTAGTGACAGGGTGCTGCTCAATATCACTCATACTCTCGACCTGACTGTCTACAGCCCCTGTCACTCACTATCCCGACAACGTTAACTACTCTCCTGACGTGCTAGAATTTGCTCTAGTTAAAGGAGTCTCCCTCAACCTTAGAGCAATCGAGTCTCTCGATGATCTAGGATCCGACCACCGTCCTGTATCCCTCCTTCTTGGCCATCAGCCACCTCCAACTACCTAGCCTCGACTATGGACTCTCCGGACCCTCCCATAACCCTCTCTTCCGACGTCCTCGACAGTACGGGGAAAATAGACACCGCGGTCAAAAATCTCACCTCTCTTATAACATCCTCTCTTAAAGAGAATGAAAAGGTTGTTCCGGTTGCTAAAACTAGTCTTCCCCTAGATATTAGCAACCTGCTCAAAGCCAAAAAAAGCTGCCCTCCGTAGAGCCGCACGCAATCCCACTCCCGAGTCCTCCGTAACCGCCTCAAAGATTTCAGAGACCTCGAAAGGAGCAATCTCATAGAGAAAATCTCCCCCTCTCACACAGCGAACTACCAGATGGCGAGAGCCCTCCGGATGGACGCTATCACGCATTCTCCCCCTCTATCTCGTCCCGACGGCTCTATCGCCTTCGAGGACGAAGAAAACGCTGAGTGCTTCGTAGACAGCGTCGCCGCTCAATGCTCTCCCAGCTCACAACCCCCTGACCCCACACATGTCCAACTAGTAGAGAACGAGGTCCGTCGCCGGAACTCGCCCCCCACCGCCTCTGAACCTATCACTGTGTCCGAAGATGAGATTTCATCTACCATCAAAGGACTTAAGCTCAAAAAAGCACCGGAAAAAGCACCGCGGATGGCATCTACAACCAAAAAAAACTCAAACACTTTCCGGAGCAGGTGATCGCCTTATTGGCCATAATCTTCAACGCCTGCTTCGAATTTAGCTACTTTCCCACCTCTTGGAAAGGAGAGAGGCAACTGTCATTGGCATTCCCAAGCCAGGCAAACCTCACCACCTCCCCTCCAATCACCGTCAACCTCCTCCTCAACGCCATGGGCAAACTTTTCGAACGAGTTATTCTCGTGCCCCCAGCAAGTTCACTGCAAAGTGGAATATATCCTCAGCGGTTTTTATCCTCGTCGTCAAAAGACGATGGCGGTCTTTTTCGACATTGCCAAGGCATTCGACAGAGTCTGGCATGAGGGCCTTATCTACAAATTGTACGACTTAGGCCTCCCTGACCACCTCGTCTGCCTTGTAGCCTCCTATTTGAAGGATCGTACCTTTCGTTTTAGACACGAAGGCACGCTATCCTCTACTCGTCAAATCAAAGCCGGTGTCCCTCAAGGCTCTGTGCTTGCCACCCTCCCATATATACTATTCACCAACGACATCCCTATCCCGTCGAATGGTGTTGAACTAGCCCTCTTCGCAGATGACACCGCCCTTTACTCTAAAGGCAACTCATTGCCACAGATTCGGAACAAGATCCAAAAGTCAGTTAACGACTTAGGAGCTTGGTTCCAAAAATGGCGTATCGACGTAAACCCGGAGAAGAGTTCCACCGTTTGCTTCGAATATAAACGACGCCGTCTCACCGCCACTCCCCCAATCAGGATGTTAGGAACCCCTGTCCCATGGCAAACAAAAGCCAAATATTTAGGCATCACCCTTAATGCAAGGCTCACTTTCGAGCCCCATATCAAGAAGGTAACTCGCACCGCGCGATTTTACATAGGTAGGCTCAACAGCATGTTGGGCAGACACAGTAAAATGTCCCTCCGCAACAAGCGAACCCTATATAAGATATGTATACGATCTGTTATGACCTACGCGGCCCCCATTTTCGCACATTCTAAACCCAAAGTTATAAATGAACCTTCAAATAGTTCAAAATCTATTCTGTCGTAGGGCCACTAACTCACCATATTATGTCCGTAATGCCGACCTACACCGAGACTTAGAGCTCCCAACAATCCAGCAGTTGCTTAAATCACTCTCTGAGAGATTTTTCAAAGCCTCAGAGTCCCACCCAAATCATCTCATTCGTAAGACAGCTGCCTATGCAGCCCCCTCCGCACTCACTATAGTGTTCGCAGACCGAGAAATTCTCTCTCGGACCCCCCCCCCAACAAGCTTTCGGCTGACCTGAACTGCCTCCTGGCGACTCAGGCCGAGCCTACATAACTCATCCCTTAATCAGCCTTAGTTAGGCTCACTTCTAAACGGTTTTTCTCCGCTTGCGCCCTCCTTTCTGCCAAGGAGGATCGCATTCGTATACGACTAAGAGATCTCTCGTCAGATCGCTAAGCCAATCCATAAAGGTAGGGTTTAGTGGGTAAAAGTCTCCATATAACCACGCAGCCGGCAGCGTGGTATGCTATGAGCATTCCCCACCTCCCCCCCCCCCCGCTTTCTGGAGGGTTGCCCATATTTGGTTCGGGCGCAAAAAATACCGCGCCGCCAGTATGTTTACGTATGCCATACTGTTCGTTTGTTGACTGTTTACTCATGATAAGAAACTGTTGTTACAATTAATTCGTTCCCTTGATACTCTTAGTTCTTGTGCTATTTTTCTATTTACAACTATCACTATTCTCCTTCTGTGTGTTGTAAAAGACTTGTAACTTGTGTAAATTATAATTATTTAAACTGAATGACTATTGAATTTTATTTTACTTACACAAGCAGCATAACAAATATTAAATTGAACTATAAAAGTCCTTTATATAAAAAGGAGGACAAACATGACACTAAAAACTACAGGCCCGTCGTTTTGCTTCCGATATTTTCTAAAATAATAGAAAAAGTAATATATAACAACTTATATTCTTATTTGGAAATTAATAACATCTTAGCAAACGAACAATATGGTTTTAGAAAATGTAAAAACATAAATATAACCATGTATGGGTTTATGGAAAAAGTGATCACCGGTATTGATAATCGTACACCAACAACCGCCTTGTTTATGGACTTGACCGAGGCGTTTGACTACGTTGATTTAAATATCTAACGCTTAAACTGGAAAAATATGGAATCAGAGGTAATGTGTTAAAACTTATCTGTCCTCTGTCTGTCCGTGTACTAATATTGAAATAACATACCTTTCGCAACAAAAGCAAACAACCTACGGATAGCCGCAAGGAAGCGTACTCGGTCCATTACTATTCCTAATATATATATCAATGATTTGCCCCAAGTGTGAGTCACTTCCTATTATCTTATTTGCTGATGACAGTACGGTTTTATTCACGGGACGAGACAAGGTCTCAATTGAATCGGACATAACTCAG